TATTCACTTTGGAGATTTCTCAAACATTACACATTTATCTGCCAACAAAGAGTTGGCTTTGGGGGGAAAAAACCCAGAAGCAAACACCAATTTTCAAGTGACCATTTTCAATGGTTCACGGTGAAAGCAGAAAGGGGAATAGTGTTTCCAACTACAGCTTGAACTCAGCGGTTAAACTCACCAGCATGAAATGCTCTAAAGAGTAACTGCACATTTCTAAATATCTTGTTTTAAAGTCAACCACAATAAAATTTATAATAAGATCTGTATATGATTTTGGTGCTTCACAAGACTATTTAGGCCATATTGTTTTAGCAATCACCACTATTTTTTCTCAACAGTGACAGACGGGGAAGTGTGAAATGTGTAACTTGAATGTGAGTGGATTTCTGAGGCAGCTCTTTCGAGAAGGGTCAGGAGAGACAGAAGAAAGGCTTTGGAACCAGACGCCTCAGGAGTGGAACCATGTCATAAAAAGTCCCGGGGGGCAAGCCACATGGACAGAAGCTGCACGCAAGAGTTCTAGCAAATCCACTGAAAATATCATTCTTGAGTTACGTTCACCAGGAACATAAAGCAAGGCGTGCTTCACTGGAAAACTGCATGACTGCCAAGCATACAGATCTTTCTCTCCATCGACTCTCTCTGTAGATGGAGTTCTGGAGTCAGCAAAGATTGCTTACTGACAAAATTAATTAGGCTATCACTAAAATTTGGGGCACTTTTCCACTTAAACCCAACAGTCATCAGAACCAGGAACCTGAATCTTTGCAAAGCCCAATTCCAGCAGAATTTATTTTTAGAGAGCTCCGACTGTATGCATAACGTTACACAGGATGCCCTATTTTCAATGTGTTTGAAACAGAAGCTGTTTTCACACATATGTCCAGCATCACTGACAGAACCCTCTCAACCTGACTTACACAGCATCTCCCCCAGAGCAGTACCGAGAAGGACAAATTCAGTCAAAATTATTTTAAATCTAGTATCTGAAGAGGGAAAAACACTACCTGTGTCCCCAAAACAACATAATCAAAACAGAAAAGCAAGCCGTCCAAGCCCCAGCCCATTTTTGGTGGGGCTACCCCATCAGCATGCCCGTGACAACACACGCGTTAGCATTCTGGGGGCAAAATAATGCTATCTTTTCAACAAGCCAGTTGCTCTGGCTAGGACTCAATCCTGGGAAGGTAAAGTGGCATTTATATTTTTAAACCAAAAACAACAAATAGAAGTGCCAATGATTTAAAAACAGTAGATTCCTGTGAAAAACACACAGCCACGTGTTATTTTTAAAACACAACTGTACCCCTTTCGCTCAGGGAGACATGCTGGAAAGAATTAACCTTAATCAGAAACATCTTCTATTTATTGATAGTTATAATCATTTGTTCAAGATGAGTGTTTTAAGACTGGCGTGGGAGGGGAGGGAGGAGAAGGAGCACTACCGGAGGGCCGAGCAGGAAAACAAGCAACAGTCAAATCGCTGGAGTGGACAGCGTCCACCTGCAACCACGCTTTGTGGATGAAGCGAGGTGTGTGCACTGGGGAGCCTGCAATAAGGGAGGTCACAGAAAGTTCCCTGAGGAAGGGATGCTGGTGCCTCCTCCTCTCCCCTCACACCTCATCTCCGGTCAGATCAGTGGGATCCAGTCAGGTGGGGAGGAGAGCAGAGGGCCTTTGGGTGTCCGGGAGCAGGGACAGCTGGTGGACTAGTAGGGTGTGAGTGCGGGGAGGGAGGGAAGGGCCGTGTCCCTGGGGCCTGTGGTTCTGTAGGGTTTTGGCTGTATGCTGGGAGAGACAGAAAGAGACTAGGGGCTGTTAAGCAGGAGCAATGGCACAAAAAGATGTGTTCTGAAGGCCTCATCCTCTGCCTGTGGACGGGAAGACACACTGGAGGCGGAGATGGATGTGGGGTCGGCAGGCGTGCAGTTACCCCAACAGACCAGGTGAGAGGCCAGTGCTTTGGAGTCAGGTGGGCAGGGACACAGAGCCGAGCGGCGTCTCAGAAGCAAACCCGACAGGACGTGGTGAGGAATCAGATACTGTGGGGAAAGGAGAGGGGCACCGAGGCATGTCCTAGGTGTCTGGCTTGCACAAGAGGATGGAGAAGGGGGCAGGCACTGAGAGGCAATGTCACGTGGGCAACTGGAGGCTCAAGTCTGGGAAGCAGATGGAGAGTTCTCGAACTCATCTTTGCCTCCTGTGTCTTTGGTTTAAGATCTTCCCCTGTGAATGCGATCCCTTTCGAGGCAGCCTGTTCCCTTAAAGAAGGCTGAAAGGTCTATAACATCAGCCACAAAGCTAGAGTAATAATCAGTTTCCAGCTATAAATAACTCCCCAAACCCTTTGGTCATTGATACATTTAAGTTTTATTTTTCCCTTTGAGAATGGGCAAAAAGAAACATTATTTTTCAAGAGCTCTATGAAAAAGACCCTTTCAAAAGAGGGGCCGTGGTAACTTTGTTCGCTGGTCTTGAGAATGGTCTTTTTAGTGGACATACAGTTAGCGGAAAGCTGCAGAGAAGTTCTCCCTGGCACACCTTTGCCCCGTATCACGCGGGCTGCCCACGGGGCCCCTCTGCCTCTGAGGCATTTCTCCTGGTCATTTTCGCTGTTCTTCAAGGAGCTGTGGTTTCACCCCTGCATCTCGGTGAAGCGGTTTCTACCACGCACCGAGGAGTCCTGCATATTCCATCTTGATTTCCTAAAAGGCTCTAACGCCAGAAATCTTTTTTCCCTTTTTGTTAACTACGTCATGCCGACTTCTCGGAGGGTTCCCACCTGTCATCAGTTCTGCTCCTGGCATCACGGCTCAAATGCACCTGTTGTGCACTTTCAAGATTAAGTCCTTCCTTTTTGCCTCAACGCAGGTACCCCGTTTCGGTTTTTCCTAAAGCAGCTGACTGATCTCCACCTTCTTTCTCAAAGCAACCAGGAGAACAAACAGAGCTTGAGGGTTTTGAAGCGAGAGACTTCCTTGTCAGGGTGTGAAGAAAATGCAAAAAGTGTTTGGCTGCCTGAAGTCTGGTAATTGATAACTAAGAATGTTCTCTTCATCTCCAAGTTGATTTTGGTTAAGCCCATTGTTCTGTTATCAAGAACAATTACTGGCAATCAGACAAAAATGAACTGCAAGTCTGCCTTCCTTCAGAGATTCTGATGTTGGCGTTTCCCTGTTGACTCCCAGCACACGACTGCCTCAGGCTCGGGGTGGGGACCAAAGCCACAGGGAGCAGGCGTGGGTCACCAAGCCTGTCTCTTCCCTGCAAGAGGTGGACCCCAGAACTTTGTGGTTCTGGTACACGTAGCTTCCCACTGGGTTCTGATAAGATGCACATCACACAGCTCCCCGGTCTGGTTGTACCTCGTGAAGGAAAAACTAGTTGCCATTGAGGTCGCCCACAGAAAGAAAACAGTGCTCTTCTCCGAACTGTGTTATGTCAGAGATCTTTACTTAAAAAACGTTTATTTTGTGATCATGATACCACTAGGAAAAAACCTATAAGGAGGGCTATTCTTTTGCAGTGATGGGAGTACCCACCCTTTACACCAGGACATCCCCTTCCTGGGTACAAGGTGTAAGAGAGAGTGACGAGAGAAAGGTCCCCTTCGAGGTACCAGCACCTCAGACAGGTGTGTATCAGCTTGACAAATACTGAGGAGCTCAGCAGCACCCACCCAAGATCTAAGACCTGAGTGATATCTCAGGAATGAGGTCATGAAGAATGCATAGATCTCGTATGCACTCACAGACTTCTCGTACCTAAACAGGCCAGTCTACCGCCTGAAAAAGAGAAAGAATCTGGGTCCTGAGATCTCCCATCTCGTAAACTTGCCAGAGCAATATTCTGTAAAACCCTCTAACAGAGAATGCACTTGTCCAGGGCTGAAGTGCCAGGAAATACATCAGTACAGTCATTTCTAACTTAACAACAAAGTTGTCCTAAAATTCTTACAGATTTCCTGAGCTAAAGGCAGCCTTGGGACACAAAGTTACTTCATTTGTTGAAGCAACACTGTTCAAAATTAGGGTAAAATATGTTGCAGGAAAAGCCTGAACGCTGAGCAAAAGTCTAGTTCATGAAATCCTCACCAGCTGCTCTTACCTGGTATCTAACAGTCAAAGGCCATCCAGAAAGAGTTAACTTTCAAAGCAACGGACAAAACCTTATGGTTCTGTAGCTGTGGGTTTTTTGTTCGTTTTTTTAAATCGGTTCATGGAAGTGGAGTTCAAATGAAGAACGAAGGTCAAGATAAAGAGGAGCCTTTGGGAGTTGCTCCCACAGACCTTTACGTGACCAGCTAAGGGGGTCCCGTGCGCCCCTCGCCCGTGATCTTCATACGGTCTGGGACAGACTAAGACACAGATCGGGTCCTCTTCACCGCTTTTAAACGGTCCCTGGTGCCTTCAGCGCCAAACGCGGCCGAGGTGACGCAATTTCGGACGGAGCAGGACGGGGCACTTCCTGAGGTCAGCCTGAAAGCTTTGCAGGCGGGCAGCGAGGGCAGGGCTGCTCCCTGAGATCCACGTGACGTCAACAATCCCGCCCTTTTGGAACTGCGGAGAGCTGGGGTTGCCATTGCTGTGGTGCTGGTTTTCTCTGGGGACGGCTGGACTAGAAAGGACCATCCCAGCTGGTCTGGTGGCTTGCATGGTCTGTGGGGCAGAGACGCTCCTAGGGCCACAAGGTCAGACGTGCAGACAAGTGGCTTAGCCAAGGCAACAGGGGCACACACCGATGCGAAGCTCACCTGGGTAACGGGAGCCCTGGCCCAGTGTATGTGTCCCCACGGTGTGGTGTGTGTCATCACCTTAGATGCTGAGGACAGCACCCAGTTGAGAGCGGTTTGGACGGGGGCGTGGAGAGGAGATACTCTGAATGAGGAAGGCAGGTCTAGATACGGTGGGGAACTTGGAATTTTGCACCATGTGAGGAGGACGCTGATGTCTGAGAGGACAGAAGACAGAAAGTCAGAGGGATTTGGGGAGACCAACTTGGCCCTGAGTCGAGAAATTGCCAAAGCCTGAGTTATGGTTTCAGGTTTGCACAACCATTTGTTCCTCCGAATGCTATCTAGTAACAGGCTCCGGTCCAGGATTCTCCTCTGATATCTATCAGGGACAAAAAAGTGGGCATCCAACTTTACACTTTCCACCCGCTTCCCCGAGTTTCCACTAGTTCTCTTCAGTAGCGGGAATCCCAAAGGCCAAGCCTTAGACACGTGCTGGCGCTCCACCCTAGGGCACCCTAGGGGGTTATAAAAAATATAGGCTCGTGAGCCTCACCCTGCCTGTGGCTGGGGTGAGCTGGTGTGTATGGTTATTAACTCTCGCCAGGTAATAATCACTTGTTTAGGGAACTTCACAGACCCTAGTCCATGAAAGGTGTGCTCTACATTTCAGACTTGGATTCCTTGGATCTCATTAAACTTAAAAAAAAAAACACCTTTCTTAGTCTTTTAAAAATTAGTGTTTGGGGCACCTGGGTGGCTCAGTTGTTCAAGCATCAGACTCTTGATTTCGGCTCAGGTCATGATCTCAGGGTCATGGGATCGAGCCCCGCATCAGGCTCTGCGCTCAGCGCAGAATCTCCTTGAGATTGTCTCTCCCTCTCCCTCTGCCTATCTCCCGCTCACGTGTGCATGTGCACTCTTGTAAATAAATAAATAAAATCTTTAAAAAAAAAATTAGTGTCTTACTACATTTTTTAAAAAGTAGGCTCCAGGCCCAATGTGGGACTTGAACTCATGACCCCGAGATCAAGAGTCACACACTCTACTGACTGAGCCAGCCAAGCGCCCCTTGTTTTACTACTCTTTGAAGACTAATAAATATATTTTGTGGTTACCATGATAGTTATGAAACTGAAAGATTTGATTGAAGTCATAATCTTAAAATACCAACAGAATACTCAATTCTAAATTCTGAAGGGAAAGGGGCTAAAAATTAAGCACAGTATTTAGATGATAATGCAAAGGCTTACATTTAATTACAGAAATAAAAACTCTACTTAAGCCTTTGAAATCTTTTCTGTCTTTCAATAATGTGACTTCTCCAATCATAGCTATTATTTTAAAACCTAACTGTCCAAAATCCAAAGGCCTAAATTCTTTGTTAATACAAATCACTCACAGTCCTTCAGGCCCATGGACCTCACCGTAACTGGGTCTGGACATATTTATAAGTTTTTTGGCCCTTCTCTTTGACATTTTAATGCACTATATTTCCACGTCAGTGGCTCCTGGCCCACCAGCAGAATTGCATCACACTGGCTTCAAGGAAAATAATACAGAAGAAGTGCCTTGCTGGCAAACAGCAACAGGGGAAATGAATTATAAATACACCTCCCTAAAGCACAGTTGCTGGAAGACGTGTGTGTATGTGGGGTGCCCGTGAGATACAGACGTAAGCAGCTCTCTGTATCCAAGAGGACAGGCTAACCCAGGCACTTGTATGTGGAGCCAGCTATTTCCAAGCAGAGGAAGACCACTGATCAAGCTACCTTGTGACTAAGATGATTTCATGGAATTTAATGAACGGCAAAGGTTAAAAACTAATGTTAGTCAGAATTCCCAATATCCTGTTTTACTGAAAACAAAAATGTTTTTTTAAACATTTATTTATTTTAGAGAGGGAGGGTGTGAGAAAGAGCTAATGGGGGGGAGGGGCAGAGGGAGAGAGAGAAACCCAACCAGACTTTGTGCTGAGTGCGAGCCCAATGGGGGGCTCGATCCCACAACCCCGACATCACAACCAATAGTTGGACGCACAACCGACTACGCCACCCAGGCGCCTCCTAAAAACAAAAATATTTTAACAAAACTGATTTCGGTTATCCTAGTTTCTGGTCTGACGTAAGTATTAAAATGTAGGTCTCCAGATTCATGGTTGTGATACTCAGTATAAAAGTTCCCTTCCAGGGCGCCTGGGTGGCTCAGTCGGTTAAGCGACTGCCTTCGGCTCAGGTCATGATCCTGGAGTCCCGGGATCGAGTCCCGCATCGGGCTCCC